AGCCTCTCGGCCGTAAGCGATCTTTGGGGGCATACCTTACCTCTCCTCAGCTCCCTCAAGCCTCCTCGAAACACTACCACGTACAGCATCCTACACGGCCAACTTCGATTGGGTCGCGACAACGACAGAAACTCGGCAACGACGGCGGCCAGATCGACATTAAGTGGCCACAACGACGGCAGCTCGGCACGACGCTAGGACCAGATGAGGCGACGTTTGGTCGACAAAGCTCGCCACAGCAGTCGTTTGGCAACGCGGTTCAGCCTCGACGACGGCAGCGCACCATCAACGCGGCACTGCTCGGGGACAGCTACAGCGACTGCGGCGACGGTGAAGTTGACACCGCCTACTCAAGGCGGCGGTTCGGACAACGCCGCTCGGCGTCAACGACGGTGACAGCGGCTCTGCACGTCCCTGTCCGACGGCGCGGTGTCGTCCAGTGACCCCGACGGTTTATGATGTCGGCGGCGCCGATCCAGCGGCGCCAAGGCGTTACGACTCTAGTTACAGCGACGGCTCAAACGACACCGCCTAGTCTCGGTGAAGCGCGGGCTATGCCCTTCAGCGGTAACACTACCGGCGTCAGCTCACAACGATACGGAAAGACATTGCCCAACGTCACTCACAGCGCCACGGTCGCTGGGCGGCGACGCAGATTTATTCACGGTCTCACGGCTACGATATCGGCAACATGGACACGACACAGCACTTCTTTTCGTCACAGCAAGACGACGGCACCGGCGACGTCGAACAAGAAGCTGCTTAGTGACAATTACGGCAATGAGCGACACGGCACGGCCCACACACGGCGGGGTCTCCAGGAGCATGCTTACCACGGCATCGCGAGGGGCTCGGCCGAGTGCACTTGGGCATGACAGCCGCGGCGGCGACGCAGTGCTCATCACTCTCTGGAGCATGACGCTACTGGAGGGCAACGACAGAGGCGGCTTGTTTATCGTCCTCACGGCGGCGACTTGATCGGCATCAACCCGACGCCAACGGCTCTTTACGACGACGTGATGGCGTCACGACAACATGCACCGTGGCGACACTGCAGTCGTACGCAACGCCAACGGCAGCTGAAGCAATTTACGCCACGAAGAGGACCCGACGCTTCCCACGTCGGCCAGTCCCGCGCCAGCAGCGACACAACATTCTACGCCTCGGTCTCCGACGGCAAATGAAAACATTGCACCCGCCTCGGATGTTCAGGCGGCCTCGGTGGACACGAGTTCACTGGGGAAGGTTCTACGACCACGACACTGCCAGCTCGGCCTAGTCCAGCATCAAGGCTCAACCGCTCCAGATTTTCGAGCGGGCCCGCGGGACGATAGCAGTCCTGCGGGGAAACATGAAAGCGGCTCCCGATAGATCCTCTTCGTAGGAACATGCGCTCGCAACGTGTTGGGCAGCTATTTTGACATTCCTGTCCTCCGCCGATAGGAGAATGCTAGTAGTGTTCATCGTTTTGCAGGGGCCATGATGTTCCGTCACCGATTTGAGCCTCGTGTGAGTGACCGATCGATTGATTGGTATTGATGATCTTGCACCAAGTTACGACTCCGCCCATTACTACAAACTAGATGATCCACAAGAGTCTCTGTCCAAGTGCCATGGCAGAGCAAGTACCGTCGCGCCTACGTAGTGCCTGACAAGCCTCCATCACATGCGACCACGCTGCACTGCAACATGCGCACAAAGTCGCCGGCAATCATCGAGCGCTCGCTAGACCCAGCGTCTCACCAATACACGCTGCACTCTACACTTCGCCTAGACACTGTACGTGTTAATGAACATAAATGTTGAATGTATTGATGCATTTGGCTATCTACTGTAGCTGTGGTGCTCGGAGACAGTGCGCGACGAGCCTTAACTACGGATGCTGCGCAGAAGCGCTAGAATTTCACCTAGCTGCTTCGTCGTCTCTACTTGCTGCTCCTTCATTGCCTCGATGTGTTTGTTCGTCGACTCGCGCTGCACACGAAGCTCGAGCCGGAGCTCTTGGTTCTCTTGGTCGTCTTGCTTCTCGTGGTCGTCACGGGGGACGTTTGATATCGCTGCGAGGATGCTGTTGGCCATCTTGGTCAGGAGTGCGTCGAGCGCCGAGCGCTGGTTGATCTGGTAGAGCATCACGCACTTGTAGTGGTCGTCGGCTGTGTCGGCTGTTGTCGAGCCATTCCAGGCACTCAGAAGCTGAGCCTTGAGATCTCGAACATCCTTTGCCACCTGCTTCTCGAGCTTGGTGAGGATCTCCTTCTTGAAGCAACCGCGGCTGCGTCGCGCCTTCTCAATGTCGCCCCGAAGCTGCCGTTGAGCAGTCGCCAGCACTTCAAACTCGCGCGCAAAGATTTCGTGGACGTTGAGATCTGTAAAGTGACTGACGTGGCTGAGACCATCCACCACAAACCCGACCTCGTCCATGACAGCCTTATCCAGAGCTTGCATCTGGTCGAGCCACGCCGCGCGACTCACTTGAGAGCGCTGCAACGTCTCGGCTTGGTCTGGTGTGAGCCCAAGGTTGGCCCGAGGAACACTCTCAGAGAAGATCGGGTGCAGCACCGGCATGCCATCCGAGCCAGGCACGTGCATGAGCGCATGAACCTTGGCGTCGGTAAGCCTGGCGCCTTCGAGCCGCAAGATGCACTGCGCATAGATCATCAACGCTCGTGTTTTGGCCTTCTCGAGACCCTTGCTGACTGTCTGGTTCATCAACGCCAGTAGCATGTTGAGCAGTACAAAGACCACAATTGCCGAGTGTACCATGAGCACGATCGCAATCACAGTGTACGTGGCCCTCCGATCCGACGCCGTGTTGTCCGAGTCGGCGAATTCGCTGAGCGAGTCCAATGGCGTCTGACTAAATGCGACAAAGTACGTCGAGATGAACGACTGACCGAGGGTGCCAAAGGCGTCGCTGACGTGAGTGTCGTTGCCGTGTACGTGCCCTTGAAAGAGTTGCACGTACGTCAGCGTCAAGCCGAGTTGGAAGACGCCAAACAGAATCAAAAAGTTCCAAATGTCGCGCAAGAGGTCCGATATCATGGGCAAGAGGTAGCTCACCGATGGAGCAACCTCCAGAAACTGAAGCGACAGGACCCAGAGACTGAGCGTGAGGACAGCGCCGAGCACGACCTTGATCTCGTCGCGAATCCAGCCACATAGACTCGACACGGCGAATAGTAAGATGACGGTGTAGAGAATCAGCTGCAAGAGGCCCAATGACAATGACGCATAACCTCGAATGTCGACACGTCTTTCCCGGTGTTTGACTCGGAAAAAGTAGGCCGACGTGACGACCAAGAGGCCATTGTTGGCATAACCAAACCAGTCGGTGACGCGCAGCGCATCACAGAAACGGAGCAGCGCTGCGGTTAACGCAGCAGTGGGTGTGCCGATGAACGCGATGAGCAAGAAGACGAGAACTATGGACACGACAAACGTGTTGCATCGCGTCGTCTCGGCGACGACTCGTCGTAGACAGCACTTGGTGACCGCGAGACTGACAAGGACAATGACAAACGTCGAGAGACCAATGCCATGAACAAACCACGGCAGCGTCTTTTCGTTGGCGAGTGCGGACGATATGGGCATGGCCACCAACATGACCACGTTCACGAGCAGCTGCTCAAAGTAGAGGCGCCGGCCAAAGAGGATCCACTTGATCTCGAGGACGCGGCGAAAGACCGGGTGCTCGAGACATGCTTGCTGCGTCGCAAAGGTCTCGTCCGGGTCTTGGAGGTCCAAGCTCAAGACCGCGCGGAGGGGATTGTCGCTGACACTCGTACCGTAGACGAGGTCGAGCTACATTACGTGTATGAACAAGATTTTAGCCCTTGAAATATGCACAAAACCTGCGAAAACACTGCTTCATACCGACGCAAGTCGACGCAATCGTTGAGAAAGGCGGGCCCGAGCGTCGTGTTGCAGCGAATGGCGCGAGAGAAGATATCACTGGCAAAGACCTGGTTGGTCGTCATGGTGATCATGCCCAGCGCGCGCTTGTTGCGAAACGCTGGCGAGATATCTCTCGCTTGCTCTTCTTTCTCGAGAAGCTGCAGGATCTCCGTTTGCTCCTTATTCCACGGGCCAAACACAGCGGCGCGCAGTCGCTTGACGATCGGGATTCCGTCCTAGTATCGAATGAGGACCTTCACAACGAATTGATACGACACCCGCGTCGGATCGAAGTAGGCGCGGTGGGCTAAGAGCAGCTCGACAACGGCCAAGTGTCCTTGCATCGCGGCGTGCAGCAGCGCCGTGTGGCCATTCTACCTCGAGCCTTGGACACTCCATTCTTGAATAAATTTGGGTCGACATGTACCGTGTCCATGAGGTCGACGTCGGCGCCTTCATTGATGAGAAATGTCGCGTGGCCCACGTAGCCAAGTCTCGCCGCCGTCATGAGCGCCGTTGATCCATCCTGCAACACTCGTAGTCTACCACGTTGGAGCGGGCTTCTACCGTTGTCGTCGGCGTGTCTACATCCTCGCCAAAGGTAGCTATTGTCGCTAGTACCGACGTGGGTAGCCCCTTTTCCGTTGCTACGTGCAGCGCCGTCTTCCCAGCCTAGATCCATATGTTGATTGTATAAGGATGCAAAAGGTGGCGCTACCGTTTTGTATTGGCTGGCCTCTTCGACGCTGGTCACCCGCGCGTGATAATACGCGGGGTAGGTGTGTTCGAGCACCCAACTGTCGTACAGCAGAATTCGACAAGGACTGGGTCGGGTCCAGGGTCTGCTCTGGCCTATTTCGAATACCGCCTATGGTATATCGCTATCTCCAAAATCTAGACGAGGCAGGCTCGTACCGCTCGAGGCACGCCATGGTGCGCGCCGGCTTGCAGGAGGAGGCGGACGCACTCAGGTTGATCCTTCTCGCTGGCGAATTCAACTGGCGCCTTGTTGCTGCTCTAATGGAGTGACAAAAAGTAAGCCTGAAGCGTGCGCCACTTGACAATCTACAGATTGGATGTTGATCTGCAAATGCGTCTGCTGCAAGAGCAGTGTCAGTGTTCGGACGTCGCCGTAGCCGCACACATGATGCAGCGCCGTACATCCCTAAACACCCACAGACTACGTGTCGTGCTCGGTATGACACTGCTACTACCTCATCATTGAGTTCGTTGATGTTGGCAATGTCCTGCGTGGCCTTGAGGCGACTACGCAGCTCGCCCCATTTTTTATCGCGTGCGAGCTTGGCGAGGTTGTCGTCACTTGTCCGGCGTGCTTCGATGCAGTCGCCAGCGCACGTGCGCGGCGGCACCCCCTCGTGCGCTCGTATAGTCTACGTAAACGTCATATTTGGTTGTAGAATCAGGAGCTGCCTTACGTGGCGCGTATAGTCGAGCAGTTGCTGCTTTTCATCAACCAGCGATCGAAGCGCCTCGAGCGTCACTGCGTTGTTGGCGCCGTCGGCGGTCGGCAAGCACACAAGGCCCTTTTGTAAGAGACAACCGACGATCGTACGTTCACCCTGCGCACATTTCATTTGCGCCAAGCAAGATCCCATCTTGTCGCACCTTGGTATGCAGCATCAAGGACTCCTTGGAGCAGTAGGGCAAGAGAATGTCGAGGACTTGGCGCTCTGCGTTGCTATCGAGGGCTTCCACGGCGTACATCAAGACTGTGTTTTCATGCTACGTTGTCAAACGCAGTGTAAATCATATCGAACACCCTCCCTCGCCGAGAAGTTGAGCAAGCGGTACCATGTCTCGACGCAAGAGCGCCACTTCGACCACCTCGGCCATGAGAGAGAGTAGCCTTTCGTTGACGCTGTCGACGTCATTGGCGCGTGCCATGAAGTGCAGCGGAAACTGCGACCGAAACTCTCTCTCCTGAGCAAGGACGGCCCGCAGCTTGGGGTTCTCGGTGACGTCGGATGCGAGCTTGCGGTCCTACGAATAGACTCGTGGAATACTTGTGTCACTTCGTCTCGGCGGCTTCTACCGTATTTTCGGCGTCCAAGGACGCCTTGCTGCAGACGACAAGAAGACGCGAGAGGAAGGCGCAGTGCGCGTCGCGGTTCCCGTCCAATGACGCAACGGCGGTGTGCAGCACCGTGTTGCCTCGCTACCAAAGCAGCCGTGGTCGCTCGCCTTACAAATGTGCTTGCAAGTACCGTATCGACGGCGTTGATGTCGGCGCCAGCTCCAAGTAGCATCTCGATGCCAACAATGTTTTGCGCGTAGCAAGCAGTGTGTAGTGGCGTTTCTCCCATCTATCCGGCATGTTGCTATCTCGGCTTTAGGAAAGAACGCACCTCGTTGCGTGCGCTGACAAATGGTTGGTGCTGCAATAGCAGCCACGCGAGCACTGTGTTGGCGCGGTAGCGGGCTGCCCTGTGCGCAAGCGAGTCGTTTGACAATAAGTAGCGCCATGGCTATACGACGTGTCCCAACAGCGTCGTGTGGATTACGAGGTACCAAGATTGTCCCAAGCTCGTCTCGGTTTGGGTCGAGATGCTGGAGGATTTCGAGTCGATCTCTCGACGTAGCTACGCCAATCGGCCTCAACGTGTACTACAAAAACCTGTTACTCTATACCCCCAACACGATCGGACGTACATTGGCGATCGATGCAACCTCGGGTCGCCCCAGTATTAGCTTCACGACGTCGGTGTGTCCGTAGTATGCGGCCCACTCCAAGACGTCCATCGCCTGCAAGAGTGTGAGTGCAGAGTGCGGGATCGCGATGACGCACCTCGAACTTTGTGGCGAACTCCTCGACGGCGATGGTACCTCCTGGATCGCGTAGCCGGTCTAGGACGCTTTCTTTTTCCCCGTCACATAGCAGTTGCGCCATGCTCTGCTCTTCGTTGCCCTCGAGGACCAAGGTCGAGTTCTCGTTCAGCATTGAGGACGACGGCGCGTTCTCGCTCGTCAAGGGCTGGCTCGATGCGGAGTACGGGATTCGGCCGTCCCTGAGCTCATGGAACGATCCCTGGTGTGAGTCCATGCAGCCTTCAGTCTAAGTACAATGCCAAGGCCAGGGACAATTCCCAAATGCGAATCAAATCAGCCCTTTTATTGCCATTAAAATACGAGCGGACACGGTCGTTTCAAACGCGAGCAACTCACTCGAAGAGCAACCCCTTGCGCTTCTCCGCCCACTTCCCGAATCCTGGTCTCTCGCGCATTGTCGAAATGCGTGGCGCACGACACGCCACTCTACCGGCCCGTGCAGTGTCATGAAAGGAGGTGGTGACGTTGCATCATCATACAATTGAAACACGTTTAGTCGACGTCAGCATGACTGAAGCGAGCGCATACACCTCGGCTGCAGCCCCAGGCTCGCCGGGTGGGGCGTTGCGTGCGTACGCTGCCGATCTGAAACGGCCCTTTCACAATCGGGCAGTCGTGCTCGCACCCCTCGTGAGATTTTTCGATTTCTCGACTGAGCAACTCACCTCACCGCGCCAAAGGTCCGGGTGAGGAAGGTTGGTGGCGCCTTTTGCCCGACAACATGGGCATGGAAGAGCAACGTGCGTATCCGTTTAGCTCCATACATAGATGAGAGAGATCCGTGGATGAGTCGAGATCCTCGCTTGCCTTTGTTTGTTTGGCGATACTATTCAAGCCAAACCAGCTGAGTAGTCTCATATACCCAAGCTCGCAATGCTTTCTCAATGCACATGGTCGTTTGACGATGAAGGCATTCAAGCGTCAAGCGCGTCCGAGTTGACACTGGAAGAGCCTTTGGAAGCCGACTCGACGGCTATGTAATCTTACGTGGTGGGTGCATCTCGTCACGGACGTTTGGTCGAACGTTGAATCCGGCGACGAGATCGACGCGGACCAACTTGGTCCATCTCGGAAATCCGGCATGACGACGGCGTGTCACGAAACGCCCATACGATGCACCAGCTGATTGGCCATGGAGGGCAACGTCTGCCAACGATATCGACGCGAGCTCGCTTCCATATCATCCTACGGGTTCCAATTATTATCTTTTTCCATGTAGTATTATCTGCATTCGAGAATTCCGTTTTAGCGACGGCTTTTGCGGCGGGTGAGAGACGACGAGCGCGATTCGTTCGAATCGTTGGCGACTTGTGATAGGATCGTGTCTAGCTGCATCGCCATCTCGGTCTGTTGCGTTGCTGCGGCGTCTTGCTGTGTTGCCGTCGCACCTTGCTGCGTCGCCATCGCACGTAGTTGACTTGAGAGCGTCTCCAAATGAGCCGTCATTGCCTCCATTCGCCTCTCCGCCGCGTCGTTCAGCTGGCTTGTCAACGCCTCAAAGCGGGCAGTCACCACTTCAATCTCTTGCGTCATCGATGCACGCAGCTCAACCAGCTGGAGGCGCACCTTTTCGTTCTCTTCGTCAGCGCTACTGACAACGCCGTCTCCAGAGACGTCGGCAAGCGCCGTCGCGATCGCTCCAAGATTCTTGGTCAATAGATTTTCCAATGTCATGCGCTGGTTGATCTGGTAGAGCATCACGCAGTTGGCGTGGTCGTCCGCAAGCTCTGTCGCAGCGCTATGCCGGGCCCTCAGAAGCCGTACCTTGAGATTTTGAAGCTCCTTCGTCGTTTGCTTCTCGAGCTTGGCAAGGATCTCCTTCTTGAAGTAGCCGCGGCTGCGTCGCGCCATCTCGATCGCGTCCAACAGCTGCTGCTGAGCAGTCGCCAGCAACTCAAACTCGCGCGCAAAGATTTCGTGGACGTTGAGATCCGTAAAATGACTGACGTGATCGAGGCCATCGACCACAAACCCGATCTGGTCCTTGACAACCTTGTCCAGATGCCGCATCTGGTCGAGCCAGGCCATGCGACTTGCCCCCGTGCGCTGCAACGTCTCGACTTGGTCTGGTGTCAGCACGAGGTTGGCCCGGGGGACAGTCTCGGAGAAGATCGGATGCAGCACAAGCTTCCCAGAGGCGTCCTTGACGTGCGTGAGCGCCGTCGTCTCGGCGTTGTCGAGGTGCATGGCGCCTTCGAGCCGCAAGATGCACTGCGCATAGCTCATCAACGCTCGAGTCTTGGCCTTCTCGAGACCCCCCGTGACTGTCTGGTTCATCAACGCCAGCAAGACGTTGAGTAAGACGACGACCACGATCGCCGAGTGCAGCATCATGAGAAGAGCGACACCCGTGTACATGGCCGCTTGACTCGAACTCAAGTTGTCAGAGGCAGAAAAGACGCTGAGCGAGTCCAGAGGCACTTGACCAAATGCCACAAAGTAGGTCGTCATGAACGACTGGCCAAGACTACCAAAGGCGTCGTCGCCGTGGCCTCGAAAGAGCTGGTAGAAGGTCAGCGTCAAGCCGAGTTGGAAGACGCCAAAGAGAATGAAGAAGTTCCAAATGTCGCTCAAGAGGTCCGACATCATGGGCAAGAGGTAGCTGGCCGACGAGATCACCTCTAGAAACTGAAGCGACAAGACCCAGAGACCGAGTGTGAGGACGGCGCCGAGTCCGACCTGGACGTCGTCACTGACACTGATCCAGCCGACTTGAATCGGAACAAAGACACACAAGATGACGGTGTAGTTCATCAGTTGCACGCGGTTCATCGTCGACGAGAGATAGGCGTCCATGCTGACGCGCATTTCCTGAAGCTCAATATGGAGAAAGTAGAGCGTCGAGAGAGCCAAGACGAGGTTGTTGCAGGCTGTAAACCAGTCGACAATGCGCAATTCTTGGCTAGCGTAAAGCACGGGTACGACCAGCAAGACGGTCCCGACGACAGCGAGTAGGACGAGACCTCCATCAAAGAGAGACTTGTTGTCGCTGAGCCGAGCAAACGCCGCAAGGACCTGAGGGCGAAGGCACTGAACGACCAGCAATCCGACGGCCACAAATATCAGGGTTGAAATACCCATGTTGTAGACGATCGGCGGTGGCAACTCGTCGTTGGGAAGAATGGACGATGTAGTCATGGCCACCAACAAGAGTAGGTTCATGAGCAGCTGCTGGAGGTAGAGCCGCCGGCCAAAGAGGATCCACTTGATCTCGAGGACGCGATGAAAAGCGGGATGCTCGAGACACGCTTGCTGCGTCGCAAAGGTCTCGTCTGGGTCTTGAAGGTCCAAGGTCAAGACCGCGCGGAGGGGACTGTGTTTGGCGCTTGTGCCGTAGACGAGGTCCAACTACAAGAGACCATGAGCCGCAGAAGAGGGGCGATACGATAAAGACTATGAGATGAAAGTACCTTGGAAAACAAGGCTTCGTGGCGACGCAATTCAACGCAGTCGTCCAAGAACGTAGGACCGAGCGTCGCGTTGCAGCGAATCGCGCGGAGGAAGCTGTCATCTTTGAAGACTTCGCTGGTTATCAGTGTGATCATGCTCAGCGCGCGCTTGTTGCGAAACTCTTGCGAGTTGTCTCTCGCGCGCTCTTCCTTCTCGAGAAGCTGCAGAATCTGATCATGTTTGGCACTTTTCTCGCCAGGCAAGACGGATCGCAGCCTCTCGACGATGGGAATTCCGTCCTGCGAATGAGTCGTGGTTAGGTTTAGGTTAGGGCTAGGTTATGAAGATCGGTGGTACCAGCTTGGGATCGAGGTCGGCGCGATACACAAGCAGCAGTTCGACAATTCCCACGTGCCCCAGTACCGCAGCATGTAGTAGCGCTGTGCACTTGTTCTACGCACTGCCGTTGAGGTAGTTTTGGTCCGTGGCCACATACGGCGTCGATAACGTCGACATCAGTGTCTGCCTCTAAGAGAACTTGAGCAAGGCGCATGCAACCTTGCTTGGCCGCCATCATGAGCGCCGTCTCGCCCGTCTACATCTCGATTGTCAAACAACAACTATACAACCCGGGACAATCTTGGTTTGGGCGTCGACATCCGCGTTGTGCTGCCCCAGCAATGATTCGACAACGTTCTCGGGTAGCTCTTTCGTAATTGCAATATGCAAGGCTGTCTCGAGCGCCTACAAAATATTAAATAGCATTGTCCTTCACAAGGTTATGCCAACCTCGATGTGCCTCTCGGCCTCGTGAACATTGAGGAGGCGAACGAGGTGGTAGTCGGGGTACGCCTTTTCCAGTAGCCAGCTCTCATGAAGCAGCGTGCGGCTCGGCTTGGCTCTGTCATACGTGTACATTTGGAGGTCCTTGGCCGACTAGCGTAAGGGCTGATAGATGCGACTTTGTGATCGTAGATGTAGGTGGCAGAGGACGTACAGCTTCGAGTCGAATGCCGTGGTGCGCACCGGCTCGTAAAAGCAACCGCACGCACTCATCGTGGCCACGAGCGCTCGCAAATGCGACGGCGGTCTCGCTCGACTAGAACAGCGTTTATAAAACAAAAGATCGATATACCAGGTAGGTACGTCGCGCATGGTAAGGTTGACGTTGAGTTTGGACTGCTGGAGCAGCAACGCCAAGAGCCCATCGTTGCCAGCGTCGCACACATGATAGAGCACCGTGTGGCCCTAACGACGTCCGTAAAGACAGGAAATGGACGTGTACGCACCTTGGCATCGTACTCGTTGATGGTGCTGATATCGTTTGAAGCTTCCAGCCGACGCTCGAGCTCACTCCATTTTCGCTTCTCGGCGAGCTGGGGCAAGGTGGTGTTGCTCAACTGGCTCGTCTCGGAGCAAACACCGGTGCACGTGAGGGGCTGCGTGCCTTGCCGTGGGACCGACGCCTACAAGAAGCTTCCAATGTGCTAGCCTTCGTGTTGTCCTACGCTGGAGACAAAGTCGAGAGCCACCATTTTCTCGCGCGTTAGGACGTGCATGACGCGCAGAATGGCTGCGTTTGTTGCATCATCCAGGTTGGCGTTGCACACAAGGTCCTTCTCCAAGAGGCAGTCGAGCACAGTTCGCCCGTTCTACAGACTTGGCTTACGGCCGCTTGCCATGGAAACGTACCTTGTCCTGCACCATCAACGATGCCGTCGAAGCGTGCGGAAGGAG